ATATAGCTTGTGTTCAGATCTTTAAAGATTACACCTTAAAAGTATTAAACTTTAAAAATAACAAGTTTTCCTCACAGAAATGAACTAAATACTAATATAAAGACCTACTGTGTATGTATTTAACGTTTTACTTAAAACGTTACATCCCTTACAATCAAGAAGGCCTTGCGACTCCCCTGTGAATCTTGTGTGACCCCTAGTCGGGTTCCCACCCTCAGGTTGGGAACCACCACTTCTGTGTGCAACACCAGACATGTGTAATCAAGATCTGATGATTCCCTCACACATACACAGCTCTGGTGAGGGAGACACCACGTTCATTATCTCCGATCATTAAGCCGCTCCAGAAATATTGAACATTGTTCAGATGTGTGAGATTTGGATCAAAAATGCCTCCAGTGTCGCTGCGATAGAATGGAGACTGAACTTAGCTGTTCTTTCTTTGTCAGGTGCTCCCATCAGGCCTTGCCTCTGATATGGAGACAAATGCACACGTACATGTGAGATTTTATCGAGGCCAGGGGAATGTATGAACTACAGTCTAAATAGAGAAACACTGGTGTGCCTAATGGCACTTGTCATGGTAACAAAGGGAGTCTGGCAACCTGCACGTACACACAAACAAAAACATCTCGATCTGGGGCAGGATGGTGCCTCTTCAGGCGGTTATGCAACGTTCTCCATGATCAAGGAGCGATATGCTTTTCTGCAAAGCTTATGTAAATTGTGTTAGGGGCCCCTGCAGCAGCCTCCCACCCAGAGACATCAGTATCATTGTCAGATCATAAGCATCAGTGTCTGAGCTGGACCAATACCCCAATTCACCTCAACCATAATTACTTTGGTGTGTTTTTTGCTGTACGTAGAAGAATACAGAGAAAGACTGAACTTGCTCTGAGAGGTTAGGAGGTACGTCAAAGCATATGTCTGTGGGTACAGCCGAGCTCACCAAAGGTTGTGGTATAAATAAGAATAAAAGGTACTTATATGGACAAGAATCAGAAGTGCCGGTAATCAGTAATCAGCCTCATTTCAGGCACTGATTAAGTATTTTGACAACATAAATTGACCATTTTCTTAGTGGGCTTTTGTCGACATTTTGCATCATTGGTGTTGTAATGAGTGTTCCATATGAAAAGACAGGACCTCCCATAGTCGTCTGGCAGGTTGCCAGGACTTCCAGTAGTGTGTGTGTGTGTGTGCTGATACACCTGAGTTCTCCTGACCGGCCACTGAACCAGCGCAGCAACATGGAGGGACTATGTGTGGTCACTGGAGTATAGCACTGACAGCCCGGACCCTGGAAGATCCTCCAGTCCTAATCCAGTTCTGGTTGGGACACAGACAGCGAAGGAGAATTTAAAGGTCTAGTGTGAAACGTTTAGGAGGATCTATTGGGCAGAAATGGAATATATTGTATATATGGAATCATTGTGTTTTTGTTTGAATAAGACGTTTTTATCTACAGACGCCATGGGTCACCATGTTAAAGCCTGTAGATAAGGCCTCTTGAGAGTTTTGCAGCCACTTCACAGTCCGTTCTCATTCCCAGGTTGTCAAATACAGACGCAAGTGGTGTTCAGTTGGTTAGCAATCTGCAACTTTACCTCTAAATGCATATAAATCCTACAGACAGGTCCTTTAAGAGACAGATTCTTTCTAACCTGCCCCTCCAGTTTGTTTCAGGGTTATTTTCCCAAACATTAGACGATCCATCTAGAGTCGGAGCAGTAAAAACTTTGGATCACTAGACAAAAAGCTAAGTATGAGAGTGAGTTAAATTAAAATACAATCATAAAACACACGAAAAGACAGAAGCTGAACATGTTTGAGGTAAAACAGAAAATGAAAATGTCTTTGTGGCTTAAAAAATACCAAATAATAAAAGTATAAATGTTTTAGCTAGTCTAAATAAGCTAGTTTTATGAAGTAAAACTTTCAGTACTTATGTAAAATAAAAATAGTTAGGGGATAATTTATTGCTGTTTTTAGTTAAATGGAAACAATGACAGTTGTTTTTCTTGTATTATTTATTGATCGCCTCGTGCTGCAGCAGTTTCCAACCAATAAATAAACACAGATTTCTGGAGAAATGCCCGTAATGCTTCACCTGAAACAATACTACTGTTGACTCCCAAAACTGATATCATATGATCGCTCCCCGTCATGGTAACTCCAGTTTCTGTTTTAGCGGGAAATAAATGAGGATGTTAAAACAAACGTACAAACTGCTGT